TATATATAAACCAACCTGAATGTACACCACCAGCCTTTGACTCGATAACACTTAGCGGGTCCCAGCTAGACTCTCGGTCTCTGTTCAAACTCAAGGCTCTGTATGTATGTACACACACACACACACACACACACACACACACACACACACACACACATATGCTCACACACACCCAGGGCCAGACCTCTGCAGTGCCAGGCCACACAGTCACCAATCTGCTCTGAGCTCTCAGTCCTCTTGGACCTTTCCAGCCCAGGGCCTGGAGAGAGGTGGCCCAGCAGTAGGTGTCTGTACTATATTTAGGGAAGGGCCAAGGTTGGGGCCTCAAGAATTGGATTGACATATGGTTCTTGGGGTCACAGAAAACAAGAAGTGATGACAAGTAAATGCCACCCAAGGGCCAAAAGGAAGCCCCCAGGAGGAGCTGAGAAACCTGGACACAGCACACCCTCAGGACATCCATGCCGAATGTGTGACCTGGAAGTGTAGGCAGCACACCCCGCGCCCAGCATTAAGTAGATGAGGGCACCTGACACAGGCCAGTGAGCGCTAGGGGTGGCAGGCACGTGTGAGGACACCCTGACCTGGAGGGTGAGTGGGTGCCCAGGCCATGCTGAGGCCCCGAGCACATGGCCCCCAGCTGGGAGCAGGTGCACACACATCTGCGTTTGCACACGCACATGTGTGCCCATGTACCTGAGGAGGTCTGGCGTGTGCAGACAGCAGGGGAGGGCTTGCTGGCTCAGAATATCTCAATCATTGCGGGGCTCCCTTGGCTCCGCCCGATCGATGGGGCAATTAGATTTTATCAGCCGCCTGCTCAGCCGCCTCCAACACGCTCCAGAGGCAGCCCCCACACTCCCGCCCCACAAAGCCCTCCTCAGGCACATGCAGGCCTGGAAGCACTGACTGGGTGTTCAGGAGTCCCAGGACAGTGTAACACCCCCACCTCCACCCCTGGCTGCCAGCCTTCCTGAGAACTGCGGCCGCTGCCAGAAACATCTCTGCCCAGAGACAGGATAGCAAGGGACACCTTGCCCCTAAACTCCTTTCATTGCCTTGCTACTTTAGCTGAAGCTCGGCTGAGCCCCGCTCTCTGCTGCCTCATGACCAAGTCTCCTCTGACCTTCTCCTCTGGACAGCACCTGAGTTCCCAAACTGCCCCCTCCCTCTGAACTCCTGCTGCCTCTCCTGTAGCCCCATCCTCCACAATCCAGGTTGGGATCTCCAGGTCCAGTGCCTTCACCTGCCCCATGGAGGTCTAAGCTATAGTGCTCCCTTTCTTGCATGATGACCCTTTCCCTCCCAGGACCCCAAGGAGGTAGAACCAGTACCCGCCATACTCTGGGGCTGGTGTGTGAGGTGAACAGGGTGTGCATTTCTGAGCCTCTGTGAGGCCTATACTTGCATCTGCCCCTGTGAGGAGAGGGTAGAAGGGCCTCAGCCACTCCAAGCCCACCCCAGCAGCAGCCACAGTGGAGCCACCGCCTCTGCCTCCTGTCTGCCCGGCTGGCTGGGATTAACACAATTACCATCACATGGAGCCCCGGGGGACAGCCAGCCTGCACCTCCCGCCTCCTCTGCTGGCCTTGCTGGCCGCCTGCCAAGGCTGCTGGGGTGGGTGGCGGTGGCGTCCAGAGCTGCTGAGCAGAGATCGGGAGGGTGGGCTGTCCTTGGGCTAAGCTGTCATGGCCCCAACAGCCCCATCCTCATCCTGAGGACCCCAGAGGCTCCTCACCTGCGGGTCCCAGGCCAATCTCCACGCTGCCTCTCTGGAATTCACAGCGGCTCTGATGCTCGGGCATAACGAGGTGGCGGCTACGATGGACACTGGATATGAGGGTGGGAAGGTTGCTGTCCTGGCTGCAGCAGAGCAAGACAGGGAAGGACAGACCTGTGAGAGCCACATGGAGCCTTGGCACAGTAAGTGCCTGACAGAGCGTGTGAGCATGCACAGCATCGGAGAGCAGCGATACCGTGTGCACACCTCTGCATGTGGCCCAGGATGCTGCGCGTGTGCACATCCACAGAGCAGACCAGAGAGAAACAAGGCCCTGGCCCTCTGCCCCCATGCTGTTCCCAGGAGGGTCTGTGAGGGCGCCAAGGCTGGTTCATCCTGCCATCACTGTCTTCAGAGGGAACAGCGCTGGGCCTGTTCCCTGCCTCAAAGGATGGCCAGGTGCCCACCAGGCAAGGGGGACCCTGCACAGGGTGGGGGCCAGCTCCTGCAGGACAGGCCCAGAGAGGACATGCAGTCACAAGCAGGCTGCCAGCTCCTTCCACAAGAATGGGGTATGCATTTCAATTATAACTGGCAGCCAATCCCTGACCCCCAATTTCTTCAAATATAGAAACTGAAGTTCAAAGTCCTATAGCTGACTAGATACACACATGCACACACACACACACACACATACACACACAGGCACACACACACACAGATGTGACACACACTGTGGATGGAGGTCTGGTTAGCCTGGTGTGCTCAGGACACCCCACTCTCCCCAGGGCTCTGGCTAAGAACCTCAGCAGCCAGGACATGTGGGCTTGGAATAAACATGCATTTAACTCTTCTGTTCCCTGTTTCTCACCTTCCTACTAGGTCAGCAGCATCCCACATCCACAGAGCCCAGAGAGAAAGGGAACATGGCTGTCACCCCTCCCTCTTTGGGTTCTGTGAACACCTCCCCTGTCAGCACAGAGAAGGGAAGTGACAAAGGAGAAGCAGGGAGGGACCTGCCTCTGCCATGCCCACCCCTTCCCAGCGCGCGCTCGCTCACACACCCTGGCCCACCTGTAGTGGAGCAGCCTCCTCAGCTCCACTAATGATGGTGGAGCCTCCCAACAGTGACCTGAGAACCGACCCTAAACCTCATTAAATAGCCCCCAGCCCCCCCTGGCCTGGGCTGGCTGGAGCTGGGCTAATCCAGGGCTGGCCCCTAAGCAGATCAGTTTCAGCACCAAAGACTCCAGGGCTGGGCTCTAGAGCCTTCTAGGAGACCCAGATGCAGGTTCTCTCCCCACCCCCCTCTCTCTCCCCAGAGGGAAGCACCCCACATGCAAATAGGAGGGTGGGTGGGGGTAAGTGGTTTATGGGATTAATTGGCAGCAAGTCTCATCCCCCCATCCCCATTGATGCGGGGGTGTCTAGATACACACATGCACACACACACACACACACATACACACACAGGCACACACACACACAGATGTGACACACACTGTGGATGGAGGTCTGGTTAGCCTGGTGTGCTCAGGACACCCCACTCTCCCCAGGGCTCTGGCTAAGAACCTCAGCAGCCAGGACATGTGGGCTTGGAATAAACATGCATTTAACTCTTCTGTTCCCTGTTTCTCACCTTCCTACTAGGTCAGCAGCATCCCACATCCACAGAGCCCAGAGAGAAAGGGAACATGGCTGTCACCCCTCCCTCTTTGGGTTCTGTGAACACCTCCCCTGTCAGCACAGAGAAGGGAAGTGACAAAGGAGAAGCAGGGAGGGACCTGCCTCTGCCATGCCCACCCCTTCCCAGCGCGCGCTCGCTCACACACCCTGGCCCACCTGTAGTGGAGCAGCCTCCTCAGCTCCACTAATGATGGTGGAGCCTCCCAACAGTGACCTGAGAACCGACCCTAAACCTCATTAAATAGCCCCCAGCCCCCCCTGGCCTGGGCTGGCTGGAGCTGGGCTAATCCAGGGCTGGCCCCTAAGCAGATCAGTTTCAGCACCAAAGACTCCAGGGCTGGGCTCTAGAGCCTTCTAGGAGACCCAGATGCAGGTTCTCTCCCCACCCCCCTCTCTCTCCCCAGAGGGAAGCACCCCACATGCAAATAGGAGGGTGGGTGGGGGTAAGTGGTTTATGGGATTAATTGGCAGCAAGTCTCATCCCCCCATCCCCATTGATGCGGGGGTGTCTGAGAGAGAACTGCTGTCCTCAGCATGGGGAAGGGGCCGAGGGCTGGCCTAGCAGCAGGGCTGCAGCTGCTGCAGAGCTCTCCCCTGCAGAGACCCCCTTCTGGTGTCACCAGGGAGCCTGCAAGGGGCACACCAGCTCCCAGAGATTCTGAGCAGGTGAGGCAGCCCATCCTTTGTTCCCTGTGAGCACCCTGCCTAGCACCCACAGAAGGAAGGTGAGGGCTGCCTGACAGCCCCCACAGCACTCAGCAGCTCTCACTTGAGGGCAGTGACCAGAGGGGGTCAGATGCCACTGATCTCCATAATCTGTCTATCCTGGGGGTTGACTCCATGGGTCTCAGACAGACTGGTTTGGACTCTGAAAACCTGTCTGCTCATTTGGTCATTCACTAAACAAATCATGGCTATTTTATGTAAAGAATCGAAAAGAAACTTCACACACACCCGACTGGAAATGCATGAACCCTTCATTGGGTGTTATAGCCTAAGGTCTTACAGCCATGGGACGCCCTCAGCAACGCACTAGGCAAAGCCCACAAGGGTGCTGGGTGGTGTCTGCAGCACTGCAGGGTAGGGAAGCTGGCGGGGCGGCCAGCAGCAGCAGAAGCAGGAGGCAGGCAGCAGCAGGGAAGGGCTGTGTGGAGTACTTGAGCCTGGGGGGCCAGAACCTGGCCCTGTCAGACCAGCTCCCATCCACGGGCTCCCTCATCAATGGCTTCACAGTTCAGGGCTTGTTCATCTCCTTGTCAACTTAGGGGCCCAAGGAGGGCAGGGACCAGTTCCCCGGTCTGCAAACAATGGCTTTAAGGAACATCTGCTGCCTGGGGCTTCATGGGTGCAGAAGGAGGACTCCCTGGGGCTCTGCTCACTCCACTGCAGAGTCAGACAGAGGGACAGAGATGGATGGACAGCTGGATGGAGAGTGACAGATGGAGATGGGTAGAGATGGACAGATGGAGACTGATGGCTGGATATGAGAGTACAGACAGAAGGACTGGCGGACAGGACTAGGAAGGCCAGAAGACCAAGACAGACGGAGTCAAGGTGGGGGCAGTGTGCGGCAGCTGGGCGCTGTGCCTGCCTACAGCCCTCCCTGATCAGACACAGGGGGCCGGGTCAGCGGGTGGGGGCAGATGGGCTATCCCTTGGAGACCCAGCCTTCCTTCCCCTCTAACAGCAATCTCCTCTCTGGTAAAATTCAGAAAAATCACCCCTTCTAGGGCCTGCCAGGACCAAAGGAGCCCTCAGCCACTCAGACCTGGCCTCTTCCTAGGGGTACCCCAGGGCACCTGCTCTCAGTGCATCTGGACACTCAGGGTCCTCCCCCACATTCTAAGACCAAGTGGATATGGGGAGGGGGCTGCAGGCAGGAAGAACCATCCCTGCGGCAGGAGAAACAGTCACTGGGTTTCCCTATAGGCCGCGCTGACAAATTTATCCTGTAGCGTCCCAAGTAAAAGGCTCATAAAATGTCATCAATGTTCATGACGGTTCATAAAAATGATCAGTTGAGCTGGCAACTCCAAAATGAGGTGGAAATAAGTTTAAAGATGTTTTTATTGTAATTCGGCTCCAGGATCCAGACGTTCTCAGAGACATAAATAATAACACATCTGGCACAAAGCCAGGGCAAGCTCCCACCCCACCATGTGGCTGGGCCAGAGAGAGGGCCTGGCCCTCACAGCTACGGCCACAGGAAGCTGGCCCTGCCACTGCTACTGTTGGGTCCTTGCTGCTGTGCTCCCTGGGAAGCCACAGGGTACTTCTTGACCTACTGGCCAAAAACCACAGCTGGGCTCTGCTCACAGACTGACTGTCCCCTGCCCACTGCCATGAACTTGGGTCCTTCCAATGCCTAGCCTCCTCATCAGGCCCTTCATTTTTATCTCTTTACTGTTTCTTGGACTTAACACACACCCTCCATCTCATACCACAGCCTGAATCCACATGGTTGGAGCAAAGCCCTAGCTTGCCAGGGAGACCTCCAGAAGGAGCTTTTGAAAACACACCTGGCCTCTCCCTTGCTTAAGAACTTTCAGTGGCTCCCACCTGCCTGGTGCACAAGGCCCAACAGGCCCAGCATCTAAGGCCCTTGAGCATCTAATTGAGCCAGATATGCCAAGTTCACCTCCTTCCCCTCTCCCATATCTCCCTCCCTCCTTCCTCCACATCTTTACAAGACATCCTCTT